ATTACTGTCCATCTATTAGAACATCTTTATAAAAAGGCAATGCCAAATGTTGGTGAGGACGTGGATGAACTGGATCTCTCATATATTGCTGGTGGGGACATAAAATGATAAATAACTCTGGAAAATAATTTGGCAGTTTCTTATAAGCCAAACATATACCTGCCATATGATTTTAAATCACTCCTGGGCATTTGTTCCAGAGAAATAAAAACTTATGTCTACTCAAAAACCTATACATGCTCATAGTAGCTTTACTTGTAATAGCTAAAAACTGGAAACAACTCAAATGTCTTTCACTGAGTAAATGGTTAAACAAACTGTGGTATATCTATACAATGGAATACAACTCAACAATAAAAAGTAATAAATGATTGATACTTGGAAAAACTGGGATGGATTCCAAGTGCATTATGCCGAGTGGAAAAAAAGTTAATTCCCAAAGGTGATATACTATATGACTCCATTCATATAAAATTCTCAAAATGACAAAATTAGAGAGACAAACAACAGATTGGTGGTTGCAAGGGAATAGGGATGATGCAGGGTCAAGGTGGGGAGTGGGTGAGTGAGCCTATAAACAGCACAAGGGAGTTCCCTTGTGGCAATGGACAGGTCTGTCTTGATCATGGTGGTGATTACACGAATGCACATGGGATAAAACTGCGTAGATTGCACATACATGCCTACACAGGTAAAAACTGGTGAAATCTGAACAAAATCTGCAGTTTGGCCTAACATCTATTTCCTGGCTTGGATATTTTACTATAGTTACGTTAAGATAGTACAATTGAGTAAGTTTGGGTGAGGATCTCTCCAGACTATTTTTGCAACTTCCTGTCACTTTATAATTTTTTCAAAATTAAACAATCAAAAAGTTTTTTTTTTTTTTTTTTTGTCTTTTGTCTTTTTTCCGTGTCCGGCAACGGATCGCAACCCTCAGTGTTGCCCCCGTACCGGACCGGGGACCGGCAATGGGATTGCAAGCCTCAGTGTTGCTCCCGCGCCGCGCTCAGCCAGTGAGCAGGAGCCGGTCTGTATGTGGGATCCGACCCCGCGGACGGGAGCGCCGCCGCGCTTCCCAAGCGGCGCACTATCCAGTGCGCCACCGGGCCGGCCCCCATCAAAAAGTTTTTTTTTTTTTTTCCGTGCCCCGCAACGGATCCCCACCCTCAGTGTTGCCCCCGTACCGGACCGGGGACCGGCAATGGGATTGCAAGCCTCAGTGTTGCTCCCGCGCCGCGCTCAGCCAGTGAGCAGGAGCCGGTCTGTATGTGGGATCCGACCCCGCGGACGGGAGCGCCGCCGCGCTTCCCAAGCGGCGCACTATCCAGTGCGCCACCGGGCCGGCCCCAATCAAAAAGTTTTTTAAAAATTTCATACAGTTAAATCTGGCCATCTTTTCTTTATAGCTTCTGGGTTTCCAGTCTTGGTTAGGAATATCTCTCTTATCCCTAGGTTATACATATAGTTTCTTGTATTGTCTTTTAAGATTTTTTTTAACTTTTCAGTCTTTAACTCATCTGGCATTTATTTTCATATATGATAGGGGCACAGCTTTATTTGCTTCCAGATTAGTTGTGCCACTGCCATTTGAGTATATCATCTTTTTACTACTGAACTTTTTACCACTCAAGTTGTATATAAAATTCCCATCTATTTTTGGATTCCCTACCCTGTTCTCCTAACCTATCTATCACTTTTGTTGATAATTTATTAGATTACACTGGTATAACAGACATTAATAAATAAGTATATTTTGAATATCCTTTCCATTTGAAGTTCCCCAAATGGTCAAAATTCATTCTTTCAGTATCCCTTGCTGCTTGATACAGACATGAACATGACCTAGCCTCTGCCAAACATTGGCAGAGAAAGAAGCAAGGAGAATCTAGTTTGGGAAGCACGGTGGCGCGGCTTCCAACTGTTCAGAAGCAGTGGTGGCAGAGCTTTTGACACTCAGTCCTAAGCGTCTTCAGAAGGAGCTGATGAATGAATTGTCTTTGCTAAAGCAGCCTGTGAAATGGCTGGGTGTTATTCCTGATGCTGTAAGGGCCTGAATCTCTGGTCCTTCCAGATTACTTTTCAGCTTGGACTCTTGTTTTCTGCCCTTCCCCAGAACTGCGCACTGCTTTTTCCTTACTTGATCTTTCTCAAAGTATTTGTTTTCATAATCTTTGAGGTACTTTAAAAAATTTCCTGTTGCATTCTAATTGAAACTGCACTCAAAATTTTGGAAATATTGGTATTTTTGTTTTCCAAATAATGATATCGCTTTTCATTTGTTAGATTGTTTTTATTTGGTCTTGTGTCTTGAATTTTATTTCTAGATAATGTTTTCATTGCAATGTAACTGGAATTTTTTTCCATTCTCTTTTCTAGGTGCCTACCCTAGTACAGAAAGTTCTATTATTGGCTGGCCAGTTACCTCGGTTGGTTACAGCATGGTGTGATAACACCAAAGTCAAGTGTTTGGAACCCTGTATTCTATTTTTTTTTTTGTATAGTTGCACCTTCAGTGTATTCTTTTCTTAGTGCTGGTAGGTTTTATTAGGATCTCTTGAGTTTTCTAGGTATACAATCAAGAAAAAAAGACTATTTCTCTTTTCTTTTCCAATATCATACTCAGCATGGTGTGATAACACCAAAGTCAAGTGTTTGGAACCCTGTATTCTATTTTTTTTTTTGGATAGTTGCACCTTCAGTGTATTCTTTTCTTAGTGCTGGTAGGTTTTATTAGGATCTCTTGGGTTTTCTAGGTATACAATCAAGAAAAAAAGACTATTTCTCTTTTCTTTTCCAATATCATACCATCTCCCCACACTTATTGCATCTATTAATATCTCCAAGACAATGTTGACTAAGCAGGTACCCCTGTCTTGCTCTTATTTTGAGATGACTTTTAGTACTTCACCTATTTTAGGTTTTTTAAAAAATCTAAATTGAGAACGGCAATTGAATTTAGTTCAATACCTCTTCAGCGTGTCATATTACTTTTTCTGATTTAATATTGTGATGAAATGATGTTAATAGATTTCCTGACATCAACCCACACTTGGATCCTTGATCAGTGTTTTATTCTTTTGATAAACTATGAGATTTTATTGGCTAATAACAGAAATGCCCCTTTTCCTATTTCGAGTGCCCCACAATCCCACAACAAACCTCGAGTCCTTACCTTGAGTGCCTAAGGGGCACGTGCTGCTCCTCTGAATTCTGGGGGAAAGCACTTGTCTAGAAGTGAGCCTTGCTGTCTATCCTCCTCCTTTCCAGAAAGGCTGCCACCTAGGTTGTGCACTACAAAACTCCAGGAGCACCATTCACGTTCATAGTCATTGTGCCTGTATGTATTTATTGCAGCAGTCTCCCAACAGGTTAGTGGAATGTTTTGAGGAAGGGGCGGCAATGAGGCTGCCATGACACCTCCTCGAAAACAGGCTAGATGTCACCTGGGACCCTTAGTCGCTTCTGGCACTGAAAAGGACCTGTGCCAAGTTAGGCGTTTGAGAACAGCCATTTTCACCCATGCCTTTTCCCCTTTAATCCTGTCACCAAACAACAAATGTCAACCTCACTCCCAATATTCTCCTATAGGTAATGTTCTGCTTCTAAAGCAGAATGGTGATTTCAGAGGTGTTCATTTTATTATGCTTTAAAACTTATTTACATGTTACATATACTCAATTTGAATGCTTTGATACAAATAAAAAAGGAAAGCACATATATACAAATAAGAATACTATTATCATGGGATGACTATGAATCTGCTTAAATTTTGCTTTAATTAACCTACTCACAAACCCTAGTACTGTAACTATTATTACTGAGCAAACATCTTACAACACACCTCATATACATGTCTTGATGCTAGGGTTAGAAATCATTGTCCTGTTCTAGAGCATTTAGGAAGAATAGAACAGTAATGCTTTTTAAATTTTTAAATATTATTTCATATTCCAGGTAATTCCAAAAAATTTGTTATAATCTATACTTGCAGTGTGTGATAACAGACTAAGTTTCCTCTCAGCCCGTCTCTAGAATTTAAAGCAGTCATTGAGTGGCAGAAATTTCTTCCAGAATCTATTGTATAGAAATTGGGACATTATTAGATACTACTCTGAGTAGCATCCAAGAGCCTTCAAAATTTCTGCTCAGCTGGAGAAGCTAAAAATCTGACCTTAAAAATGATGCCTGGGTACAGGAGATACACAGTGTACATCAACTCTGTGACAGAGTCTGCTAGAGGTGACCAATAACCAATTTTCTTACTAGGTAATAAAATCCTGAACTGTTCATTTGGCCCATGGCAACTCAGAGTAAGACTATAATTTCCCATCCTCCTTCTTAGCTAGTGTGACCAAGTGACTAAGTTTGGAATGGAAGTCTATGTGGTGTGGGTAACTTCTAAAAAGTGCCCTAACAGGAGGGAGGATGCCCTCTTCCAGCTGGCTCAAATGCTGATAGGAAGTTTCTGGCTGGAGCAAGCTTTCTTCAACCATGACATGAAAGCCACATGTGGAGAATGGGGAGGAGCAATATAGAAAGAACCTGGATCTCTGACCCTGCAGAGTGCCATATTAGCCGTGGGCTGCCTTCCCAGACTTCTATATGTGAGAGAAACAAACTTCTATCTTGCATAAGCCACTACTGTTTGGGGACAAAGTCAAATTAATACGTACAAACTCATGCGTAATGCCAAATTTTAGTCGAATTTCCTGAACCTAAAAGGTCAAAAGAAGTGATATACTCATATTGCACCTGGCAGCAGTTACATCTACTACTAAGATGACATAAGATGGAAGATGTTTTCCAAAGAGAACACTGTGTAACACAAAAAAGACAATTTTCAAAGGTGATTTACTCCAAATATATATATTTTTTTCCAGTGGTAAAGCCTGCATTTATGGTTTAAGGAAGAAAAAAAAAAATCAAGAATAAAAAGTAATTGCCTTAGACTCGCTTAAGATGCAAAATGACTGGCGAAGTTCCTTCACACAAGAGAGTTTAAACAAAACAAAAATGGTTTGTTTTATTTACAATACTCAATGCATATTACAAATAACATAATTGCATTCCCTAAGTCTTTTGGAAAGTAATTCCAGTTTGTGCAATTAGTTTACAGGAAAATCTTAAGACATCTATCAGACATCTTAAACCTAAGTACTAAATTTTGAAAGATATTTCACACTATATTAAGAGGACTGTTTTAACCAAGAAAAACTAAACTCTGTAATTAAATATTGCCCTCCAGTATCTTTAACCCAAATATAAACCAGATTAGCCTATGAAATAAGACCACTAGATTTGGAAGAATTATTCCGAACTCCCCATCCCAACAAAAATGCATGCACAAAGTAAATGTGGTAAATTACATTAATCACATTTTATTTCAGTACTTTTTTTTGGACTCTCTCAACTATTGTCTGCTCAGTTCGGGGTATAGACAGGCAGGAGGCAGGGTTCCAGTTTGTAGAAACCCTAAACCACTCCTCCCTGCTCTAGAATAGGAAAGGATTTTTACGTACAAAGAGACAGGCCAGGATTAGGGGGACTTCTGAGTGGTTTCTCTAGGAGGCCTCTTGTTAATAGGAACAAGGTTCCTCTCAGGCCTGACAAAGCCTGAAGGGTCGGTTATTTCTCTACTAGCAGATCTGGGAGTTTCTAATCCGTGCCACCATAGGAAAACAGGCACTTTCTCTCTCCCCTTCTTCCTGAATCACCACCTAGATTTTAATGACTTCTGAGTTGATAATGGAAACCAGTTCTTCTGTTCAGATGCCAGAAACTTATTTATGTCACATAAAGATGTTATAGAGCAGATAAAGAGCAAGGAACAATACTTTGTGCAAAAATGTTCACACCTCATGAACATGAAAAAGAATGGGATTCACATGTTCACAGTTTTAAAAATTGGTTTAATTTTATCACTCATGTAGCTGCCTTTTTTTGTGGCTGCCCTTTACGGGGATCTAAACCCTTGACCTTGGTGTTACAAGGCTGTGCTCTAACCAACTGAGCTTTGCCATCTCTTAAAACAAAATCCATGTCCGAGCTCTTGAGTTGGAGAAGAAGGGACAGAGGTGTTTCTATACTGGATCTCCCCCAATTTAGCAATATGTTTCTCCATCTTCACAATACATTTCTGCTCAAAAGATGGTGTCTTTAATACCTGGCATGGGTGGTTAAATGAGGAGATACTAAACTGGAGAAATGAAGTCCAATATTTGACAATCAAAAGAATTCTAAGAAAAGGAAATGGTGAGGTAGAGTTGAGAGAGTTCAATTAAACTGTTGAGCACAGATCTTTTGGCACATTCTAAAACCATAGACTCCCTATCAAATTCTCCTTTGTGATATCTTTACGAAGCGCTGACAATCCTCGGATCCTAAAGGAAACACCTACGTAAAGCCAAAAGAATGAAGCCACTTGAAAAAATCCATCCTGGCTCCTTAGCTATTACTTACCCCCATGTTGAAGCAAATAAAAACAATGCTATCCATTTGCTGAATTTATTTAAACAAATCGATTTAGAAATACCATATAATAGAACAAAACTTCTGACATGTAAACATACTGCCATGTTCCTGAAACAGATGTGAAAACCTGATAAAGGTTAATAATCACTTGTTAGGAAAGCTGTCCATTAATAAGGCCAGTCTTCAGTAAAACTAAAATCATGTTGTTTCTTTAGCTTCCCTAGTCTGACAATGCAATACTATCAAACCACAATCAAATATAATAAAGACAACATTGGGTGGATAGATCAGTACCATTGGTTACAGCTGTTAAACAGTTCCATTCTTGGCTCCACATAAAAACAATTAAGCCAATCACATCAAATAAATCATGGCTTTTTTTTTTATCACAATTCACTACGTGATGTTAATTATGGTCCTTGTCAAACACGTTTGGTAAAGGCTATTTACAGTGTACATGGCTGAGCATGCACTATTTATAGTTACAAAGATACCTGCCAGTTTATTACAATAGAATTACACAGTGCCTGAAAATGATAAAACATCTCACACATCATTTAAATCAATACAGTTTCAAGCAGGAAACGTTCCTTATTTGACCACAATTGCAATAATTACATGAAAATTCTTATAAAAACATGAATCCCCTTCAAGAAATTGATGCATATTCTACGCACTACAGGTTAAGGCAGTAAAAAAATGTATTCCTGATAACTGGAGGTCTTGACAATGTCAATTAAAGCTGTCTGACTCTAGTTTTTCATTCTCCATCATATACTTAGTTTGTGAATGATTTTATTCTTAAAGTCGAAAAAGTGTTAGTAACTAAGAAGAGGTGACACTGGATAAAAGTGATTGCTAGGGAAAAGAAAAATTTAAGTTGGATTTTGCCTGAAAGTGTTCAAATCATAACCAAGAGCATTATTTTGTGAGTCTGAACCTTAAATGTATAAAACAAATACATATAGTTTACCTTTCTTACTTTAAAATATACTGTACTTTGAACAATTCAAGTAATGTAAGACTATCAAAAATAACTTCATAAGCCATACAACTGTCAACTGCATTTTCAATGTTTTAATTAAGAACTTTAAAAAAACTGTAAACTAAACCATGACAGTTTAGTTAAATGATAAATGACTTATGTGCACTTATGATTCCTTTAATACAAATTGCTACCAACAAATATGTAAAGTTATGGCAGATTATGCATTTGATCAAAGCACTTTGATTTAAGCATAAAACAGATTCAAATGGTACAAGTTCCGTGCATAAGATCCAAGGAGTTGCCCACTAATTTGTAGGCAACCCTCTGTTTAATCAGAATCCTTTATTCCTCAGCTGCAGATGAGATAGGGCACAATCTGTTGTAAACAGGGCACTGTTGAAAAACCAGGATAATATTCTTAAATTAAGATCATTCTCATTCAATTAAAAAGACTTTCCCAAGTGTCTTCTAGCACTGTAGTATGTTCTGCTGACCTCTTAAATTCATAAATTAACTCTCCTTTGATTCCATTTTTATGGTGGTTGTGTTCACAGTTTTAAAAATTGGTTTAATTTTATATAAAACTCTGTACATGTTCACAAATTATTGCATAAACAGCATAATCTTCAAGACAGTGTTTGCAAACACATGTCCAATTCAGGAAAAAAAAATTCACGTTTCCCGTCTGGCTTTTTTCTTCTTTTTTATTTGTTTGGGAGATTCCCAGCTAGTTTCAGACTTGGCTAAAAATGAAAGGGGAGTAGGAGGGAAGAAAAAAGAGAAAAAAAGAAAAAAATTAGGAGGATAGTAAATACTATTATGTCTCAATAATATAAAAGCAGTAACTATGAAAAAATGCTTTAAAATCCTCAAATTTTATGTTTAGGTTTTCAAGTCCTAGTTATATACTTTAAAGTTATTCTTTGCTTCCCTCCTTTCCTTTCAAACCTAATGTATTATTAGGTTTAACCTTATGGAACTGCTGATATTCAATCAGTTTTGACCTAGAAAAACTGCCACTTAATATATGGTGCAACCTAATAACCAAGGGAAAATTGGGTAAAATGACACTAAAGGTAGCTGAAGGAAAAAAAGGAGAAAAAAAAAGGCATAGAACAATTTGCAGCCCCAAAGACATGTGCAAAGAAAATGGAAAAGGGGCCAGAGAGACAAGCAGGCAGGTACCAAGTCCTCATCTTTGTCTTAACCACCTACTCTCTCCTTCGGTTATTTTAGCAAGGTGGCCATCACAACTGAAGTCCACAAGATTCTAAGGAATCTAGCCTTTGCAAAGGAAGGAAAGCTGGTCTATTAATCTGTTAAACTTCTAAGATCAGAATCTTAACACTTACCATAAGAAAAATATAAACAGTACAGAGAATATACAAAAGAACTAAAAATGAGGATTACTTACTCTGTGAAGGAGGCACACTATTTTGCTTGGTATTTGACTTGGATTTATCTGTCTCTTGTAGCATTGGTGGCACTTGGGAAGAACTCTTGTCAGAATCACTTTTTGATAAGATGACAGATGGCTCGGTAGAAATAGCAGGTGGAAGAGTCTTGATAGGCTATTTTGGAACAAAATTATCTCAGATTTTTAATAAAATTTTCAAATAAAATTAAATATCATAGTAATATCAAGAGGCTATTTTAGCTACAAGTAAATACTAAGATGGTTTCCAAGCAATTTATCAGAAGCAATGCATCTCATGCCGGCCCTCCAGTGACACAACCAAATAAATCATTACCTACAATATTTATGAATATAGGTTGAGATAAAATTGGAAGAAGGTATAAAATTATAAAATGTCTCCTGAATCTCAAGAAGTGAATAATTCCATTTTCATTAACTTTTCTATTTTTGTTTCATTATAAGTAGCATAATTTTATATTTGTTAGGGATTTAATGTTTTTGTCCACTTCCACCAACTCTGAATGTCTCAAAACTTTTGTGAAAGACAAAAAGAAAATAGTGAACTTCTGAACTACCAGTAGGTGATACCTCCTTGTCTCCTTCTGAATAGGTGGGGATATCTCAAATAGCAGCAGCACCAGCTTCCATTTCCTACGAGCAGACTATGGTTACCAGTCCTACTGATTAAAGCAACGCGTAACACTCAGGTTTGAATCTTCAGAGTTTTATCCAGTATGGTAACGGCACCAGCTTCCATTTCCTACGAGCAGACTATGGTTACCAGTCCTACTGATTAAAGCAACGCCTAACACTCAGGTTTGAATCTTCAGAGTTTTATCCAGTATGGTAACAAAATTAGAATGCTTAGGGTAGGGCCTAGATTCTTCAGCCTTGCTTTTTCCCAGCCTGGGAGCAAAAAGGAGGTTAACTAACTGATCTGCCTCACTGAGGCATAACTGTCAACAAATGGTCAGGACCAGGTAATGATAAAAACTCTAGTATTTGGAGTGCCTTGAGGTTGTGAGAGATGAGGAGGAGACTGTTAGCTCAACCTGTGATCATTATTCTGAACACAGAAACAAGGGTAGGTAATGTTTCTCTTGCCCCTGTTCCTCCAGCTCCATGGGTTCAAGATAGCCAATCAGGAAAAGGACAAAGAGTAGGAAGCAGTGTGTGAACCCAGGTAAACTACTAGGATTCCTTCTTTCTATTCCAGGTATCTGAAGCTATATTTATGTTGCTTGGTTTCTTTATCTTTCTTAATGTTCCCTGTATTTACTTCATATCCAAAAGCTTTACTATTTATTTTTAAGCCCCCTTTCCCCTCTATTCTCTCACCTACATTAAATCACAGAAAGGCTCCAATATATTTTACAAGATGCCTTCCGAAAATGATTTAAGTAAAACATCAAAATGTCAAATGACCCTTTGCTATTTAAATTATTAAATCTATACATATATTGTGATTGTATCATTTTTACCTCAAAATACTTTTAGAGAATTAAAAGCATCAAATCCAAATAAGAAGTATGATTAAAACTCTGTTTTAGTACAAGACTGTAACAAATTCTTTCACTTAGTAGTAACTTAGTTTCTTGTATAAAGCTATTTAATATATTTTAATATGGTGTCATTTACTCAATTAGAAATCAAACTTGAATTTCTTTGTGTCACTAGCCTAGACCTTTTGTAAAATGGTTCCTTCTGACACATAAATATTTTCCACAGAAGGCATACACTTCAAGAATCTGTCACCAAACTTTAGACAAATGTTACATTTTATGAGATTGAATCACAGTCATACTATATGTGTGCTTTGGGGAAAGTGCAATCAATCACATATTTTCTAAACCATCTATCCCTGTGTATGCCTAGATATTTAGTAGGAGAAAATATAGTACAGTGGCTCCGATTTTACTACTGATACCTATGTGACTTTGGACAAGTTGTTAACTTCTCCAACCTCATTTATGTAATTGTCCTACCTTTCTTGTGGGGTTGTTTTGAGGACGCAATTAGTCAGTGTATTTAAAATGCTTAGCATAGTGCTTCAATAAAATAATAGTTATGATACAATTCTTTTTTTTTTTTTTTCCTTTTTGTCTTTTTTTTCGTGTCCGGCAACGGATCGCAACCCTCAGTGTCGCGCCCGTACCGGACCGGGACCGGCAACGTGATCACAACCCTCGGTGTTGCTCCCACACCTCGCTCAGCCAGTGAGCGGGAACCGGTCTGTATGTGGGATCCGAACCCTCGGCGGGAGCGCCGCTGCGCTCCCAAGCGGCGCACTGTAGCAGTGCGCCACCGGGCCGGCCCAGATACAATTCTTAAGTCAACGCAACTTTATTATTCCTTAATTACCTGGCTATTTTTGACAAGTACTTCAGCTGGATCACTAGTGCTTATGGTCTTCAAGGAAAAAGTTTTTTCCTGTTTTGGACGGGCTTTAGAGGTATTCACTGGAAGCTCTTCTCTAATCTCTTTTTCTAATTCTTCTGTGTCCTACAGAGAAAAGTAGTCTATTAGATGATAAAAATCATTCATTCACTCTTTACTAATTAAAATCTATTTTGCTTCCTGTCCAGAAAACACCACAGGAAAATAATTTCATTTCAGAAACTGTTCAAACAACTTAAAAAGGAAGATATAATATAATTATTCAAAGAGTTAAAATACATATGTACATTGGAACATACATTCATTGCTCCTGCTTTCCCCAGGGAGTTACATCAGTTGTGAATGAAAAAAAATAATACACACACATCCCAAATGGGAACAGTTCTAATTTAATAAACCATGTCAAACAGAATAAACTGGTATATTTTCTATTTAAAAAAACAGTACACAGTGAATCAACTGATACTTGAGCTGAGACTTTAAAAACAGCATTTCACTTAGACTTCTTTAAGGAATAAAATGTTTATACATAAGTGAGTTCTCTAAATAAATTAAGCTTACATAGTGCATACAGGGAATTACAGTTTAGGTGATGCCACAGTCCAGCTATAAAATCTCAGGGACAAATCACTTCGTTTCTCTGAGCCTTGGTTTCCTCAACTGTAAAATTAAATTTGCTCAGATAATTTCTAAAGTCCTATCTAAGCTATACATTTCCATTCTTAGTCTTTCAGGCTTTTAAAAAAGTTTCAACAATATAATTCTAGAGCACATTATATGCTTAGGCATGTGAAATAAGTATGAGCTAGAATATATTAAATAGGAATACCACTGTGAATTGTACTGTTCTTTAACAAACATATTCATATAAATGATTTTTTTTTTTTTTTTGGCGGCTGGCCAGTAAGAGTATCTGAACCCTTGACCTTGGTGTTGTAACACCGTGCTCTAACCAGCTGAGCTAAATGGCCAGCCCTAAATGGCTGTTCTTTTTAACAACCTGCTAGGATGATCTTAAAAGTTTCCTTCTGTCATTGATATTCTATGGTATTCATTGATATTATTGCTCAGGATAGTAATAAGTTTACATAGTAATTCAAAATTTTGTTATGAATTTAAGCTGAGCAAGTAGTTTTGGAAGTATGTATGTAAGGCATGCAATCATAAAAAGTTAATCAGAACAGATCAGTTTATTTCCATCCTAAGTTGAACTCTAAGAGTGAAGGACCCCACCAGCCATATACCAACATCTAAAAAGAACTTTATTAATTCCAAAATATAACCTTTTATGAATAGGATGTATGTGCTATGTATTCTACACAGAACTTCATGGATATTTAATTTAATTTTCAAAACAACCTATGTAGTTAAGTAATCCATGCGAGGTAAAAAACAAGTAAATGGCAGAACAGGAATATGAACACAGATCTACTTATTCATTATATTTTAAAAAGCAAACATTTTAAAAAGGATCATCAGAACACCAAAGGAACTTTCAAATGTTAACAACCTTTGCCAATAAGTTGAACATTCCAAAATACATCTATACCACAAAATTTCTTTTAAAAGGAACTCAACTAATCTACAATCCAGAAAAACATTATTAAAGGTCACAATTTAAGTCAAAGAAATTCAAGAAAAATTTGGCTAAAATAGATTCCAGATATTATTACTAAAAAAGGATAGCTGTCAATAACATTTCTCAATAGCCATTTCCAGCTAACAAGAAAAGCACACCTATTATATGTATAGAAAAGAATGGAACACATAATTCTTTAAGAAGTCATCTAAAAACTTCTTCCAAAACTAAGGGTACGAAAAATTACTATGTGGGCTATTCTCCAGAAATCTGGCTTCCTATTTCCTACATGAAAACAATTAGTTGCAAGGTTATATAGTAAGTAATAAAAATATTTTCATAAGTTGTAATGTGTGAAAGAAAATGAAGTAATCAAGGCTAAGGGTTTCTAAAGTGGAGGTGAGAGTTTGTGAGAAGATTGCTAAAGGTTAAACCATCAAATGTTCTAATAGACTTGGATAACCAACTGGATATAACATCTCTCAGCTGGGAGTACCCTAACTAACTAACTAACTAACTAATCAGATGGGTCTGCAATTTAGATTTCTTCTCAGCCAATGAATTGCCTCTGAAACAATATATTGTGGAAATACTCTATAAAAAAACCTCTCTTCAGCAAGGTCAAGGGTTTGAATCCCCATATTGGCCAGCTGCCAAACAAAACAAACCAAACAAGAAAATGAAACCTGTCTTGCGCTTGCATAGAGGACACTTTGCAGAGCTGCCCTTACTCAGTGTACCCAAACTACAATTCTTTGTTTCTCAAATAAATGCTACTTTCCTTTGACCTCTGTGTCAACCTTTTTTTTTTAGTTAACAAATGTAATAGTAATAGTGCTTTCAAAAATAAATCTATGCATGTTGCTAATAATCTGATATGTTTGAAATCAAAATAATATTTTTAAATTCATTTTCATTATAATCTATTTTTTTTCCCCAGACAGGAGAGATTAAAAAAAAAGAAAAAAGAAAACATAGAATTGATGAAAAGAGAAAGTTTCTGTTGGTTAGAAACTGGCTTCTAAGTGAAATAACCAGCAAACTCAGAGTCAAGTGAAAGACTTGACTTGTTATACATGTGGTTTTCCCAGTTGTGCTGAATGTTACTTTCTAGTTACTCAAAAAGAATTTTTACATGTGTGAAATACTGTACCTTATTTTCCATTTAACCATTATATAATAAAAAATGCATTTAAATCCTTTGGAATTTTATTTGCTTATCTGTAGCTATACCTTTGATACGAGTCTTTAGAGCAATAAAAACTTTATTACAATATGATGTATTAATCTTTAAAACAGTCTGTTATTTTTCTTTTTCTTTTTCCTGAGTCTGCTTACTAGGGAGCAATCTGATTTTTCAAATGCTTTTCAAGTAAATTTGATGTCTCATATTGTATCTTCTATCTCTATATATTCTTAACATCTTGACATCATCTTTTCCTATTTTCAACAGTAGATATGTAATGAATACTGGTTGTTTTGTGTTTTACCTGTCCAAGAGGGTTATCTTCACCTTGCTTCTTCTTTTTCTTTTTTTTCTTTTTAGATTTCCCAGTTGGAAGAGTTCCTTCTCCCTTTTCTTTATCATCATCTGAAACCTGATATTAAAAGCAAAAATATAAAGTGAACCAATTTGTTAAGTTTCCGTTATTCATAAAATTATTATAAAATAATTTCATTCATTAGGTTCAGTCTTTATCCCCCAAATTTAAATGTTAGTAACAAGTAATAAAACTGATAGAAAAGTTTATATTTCAAATGAAGAGCCACTTGCATTAAAATTTAATTTGACCCTATTATGAGAATGAAATGACAAGCTATAGAGTGGGAAAAAATATTTGCTAACCATATGGTTCCAACAAAGAACTAGAATCTATATTATATAAAGAACATTAAAAAATCAACAGAAAAAAAAAATCCAATTAGAAAATATGCAAAAGACATTTCAACAAAGAAGATACACAGATGGCAAAGAAGCACATGGAAAGAGGTTCAATACCATCAACTATTAGGGAAATGCAATTTAAAGCCACAGTGAGTTATCACTACATACCTATCAGAATGGCTAAAATAAAAAACAATGACAACGGGGCCGGCCTGGTGGCGCACTGGATAAGTGCGCCGCTTGGGAAGCGCGGCGGCGCTCCCGCCCGAGGGTTCAGATCCCACATACAGACCGGTTCCCGCTCACTGGCTGAGCGAGGCGCGGGGGCAACGCCGAGGGTTGCAATCCCGTTGCCGGTCCCCGGTCCGGTACGGGGGCAACACTGAGGGTTGCGATCCGTTGCCGGACACGGAAAAAGACAAAAAAAAAAAAAAAAAAAAAAAATGACAACTGCAAATGCAGGGGAGGAGGCAGAAAAACCAGACCACGCATACACTGCCAGGGGGAATGTAAGGTGATATGGACACTCTAGAAAATAGTCTGGCAGTTACTTAAAACAATAACTATGCAAATACCATACTACCCAGTGATTGCATTTGTGGGTATTATCCCAGAGAAATGAAAACTTGTGTTTACATAAAAACTTCTGAACACAAACAGTTTTAGCAGTTTTATTCATAATAGCCAAAAACTGGAAACAACCCAGATATCCTTCAATAGGAGAATGGTTAAACAAACTGAGGTACATCCAGACTATGGAACATCACTCAGCAGTAAAAAGGTACAAATTAGTGATACATACAACAACCTGGATGAATCTCCACAGAATTATGCTGAGTGAAAAAAACCCCAAAAAACTAATACCAAATGGTTACATACTATATAATTTCATTAATATAATGTTCTTGAAATGACAAAATGACAGAGATGGAGAATGAATTACTTAGTGCCAGGGGCTATGGGCGGTTGGGGAGACAGGAGGGAAGAAAGCGCTAGAGAAAGGCAACATGAGGGATTCCTATGGTGATGGAAGTGTTTTGTATGCTGATTGCATCCAAGTCAATATACTGGTTGTGATACAGCAGCGCCCCCTTATCTGATGCTTCTCTTTCCAAGGTTCCAGTTACCCATGGTCAACCTCAGCCTGAAAATATTACAGTATTTTGAGGGACAGAGAAAGAGAGATAGAGATACCACATTCAAATAACTTTTATTACAGTATATTGTTATAATTGTTCTATTTTATTATTAGTTGTTAATCTCTTACTGTGCCTAATTCATAAATTAAACTTTATCATAGGTATGAATGTATAGAAAAAAAAATAGTATATACTATATAGGATTCAGCACTATCTGTGGTTTGAGGTATCCTCTGGGGGTCTTGGAACATATCCCCCTGCAGATAAAGGGTGAACTGCTGTGTTGTACTACTGTTTTTCAAGATGTTACCACTGGGGGGAACTGGGTAAACAATACAGGGGATTGCTCTGTGTTATTTCTTACAACTGCATGGGAATCTATTATCTCAAAATAAAAGGATTAATTCAAAAAAACTGAATTCGAGAAGGAGTGTCACTGAAAATAACATTCTGCATGACAAGAAATACCTATCAAATTAAGATTATTAATTAGTGTTCATAATGATACCTCTTCACACATACCACATGGTTGAACTTTCTATGGAAAATGCTTTTAGCTTATGCTCACAGATGACAACCTAGATTCCTAAACTATCCTTATAGGAGGAGATGATCTGGGTAACTACTATTTCTCTGCTCAGCACCAAAGTCATCATGATTATTTTGGTGTTCTCATGAACCACCAAAGATGTTACAGAAATTACTAGCAGATAGAAAAACAAAAACCAAAATCCTGTAGAAACTTAGCTAAGAGATTTTCAGTCCAAGCTGGCTGCCAGTTGTGGAGAAACTTCGACAGAAATTTCACCACAAAGCTTTCCACAGGGTTATAATGATTAAAATACCATATGAATAGATGCATCCTATGAAGAATACTCAGGTCACAAGGACTTTCTTTAGTCTGCTTCTCAGCCCATTATAATCCAATCATACAAGAAATGTAGTCCCCCATGGCAAAATACTATTTCTGTCAATGGGAAAAATGCTGAAATCAACTCCATACCATCTATTAACTCATATAAGAGCTTGACAACTTTATTTTAGATTTTTTAAAAAATAAAAGACATTACTGATAAATTTCAAATTCCTTTATACCGGTTCCTGATCCTATTCTCACACTAGCTCCCTTGAAGTAATTAATATCATAAAGTTCTGTTTTTGTCCATCCAATCAGTTTTTCAATGAACTTAAGTGTATCCACACACAAAAATTCTACATAAATGGTATTGTATCCTTCTGTAACTTACTCATCATTCAGCATGTTTTTGAGATTCTATTCATATTAGTATAGCTTATTCATTCGTGTTTAACTTCTGACACTGTACAAACTCATCACATTTTATTTCTCGATTTCCCAACTGATGGGCATTTAGAAGGAATTCTATTTTTGCTTAGAAACGTAAAAGATAATCTTGAATATATTCAGAAAAAGAATTGCTATGATGTGTGATAAAGTCTTTATTGCATTCATTGGTTCTACTGTTTAATTCTAGTGATCAGGCAGGCACAGGGAAGCTCCAGTTGGAGAAATAAAGTCTTTGGCTGTATGTTCACTAAATGTTCAACAAATATTTGAATGACTACTGTGTGTTAAGGTTCTATACGATGAGGTTTTTGTAGGTCCAATCTAAAACTCGTTCTTTCCCCTCAGCTTTCATGTTGCCTGTTAACTGTCCAACTCTACATTTATTTACCACCCCTATACCTCCTCCTGCCCCTGACAAATACCTCTCCCTTCTTCTAGTCTCCAAAGATGAGAGGTACTACCTCCTATTAAAGGCCAATCCATCTGCTTGCACCTAGGGCTTCCTCATCCCCTTCTGCCTCTTCTAGGTCCTTACTCTATTAGTCAAATCTCTCTCATTAATGCTTAATTTTTAACTTTATTTTAGATCTTTTCCATTTTTGTCTACAGATATGCAAAAGCAGGCAAACTACAAATCCAGCCCAACACAATTTTTTACAAATAAAGTTCATTTCCATATCATGTAAGGCTGCTTGCGGCATAACTGAGTAGCTGCATCAGACTATATGACTGCATAAAAAGTCTGCCTGTGCTGAACTAAGATCTCTCTTTTCGTTAAAGTACAAACCCTCCCTCACTTCCCACCCCTGCAGAGCCTTTCCTGACAACATGTTGTTGCTGTCATCCATTACTACCTCTTCTCTGTTTCCATTCAAATATATTTCTTTAAAAAATTATATATTATTACTGTTTTATCCCTCATTCACTAAACTTACTGCAATATAGCTTCTATTCCAAGATTTCTAATGAAACTGCTCTAAATTAACCAGAAAGCAAATCCAATGATATTTTTCAGTCCTAATGTTCCTGACTGCTCTGCTGTCCCTGATGCTGTTGATCACTGCCTCCTCCTTGACACTCTCAACTGTTTCAGCCTCTGTGATCCAGAACTCTCCTTCATTAACAAATAAACACCCACCAATCCCTTATACTCACCTTTTGATCATCAGCAACTGGTTCCCGGGACTTTAGGAGTGAAGCTCTTTCTTCATCTACCCAATTTCCCCACTCTTCTGCTGGTGCATTCCAATCAGAACTGGGATCAGCAGAAGACAAACCGTCTAAAATTTAACAGTGTGAATAGGTATCTATCAATTTTTGCCATAAACTAAAAGGCAAAAACTAAAAATTCCATATATTGAACTAAGCTGTAATTTTAAACTATTGCTGTTCTTTCTCCCAAGCACACTTTAACAGCTAGAAAAAAAAACCAATAATGTGATGGCAACAACTTTATCCAATTTCTGCTAGGTATTGATATCATATAGAATTTCTAAGAGACCTTAGAAAACTTATTAACCATTTAATTCCACTCTCCCTATTTCCTCTGTTGTCAGTCTCCTGAATTTGCTCTTTTTCCTGTCCATCTTTAATTTGCTCTAAGACCTGGTCATTTTTTTTTGCTTTATTACACTTTTGCAATTGATTTATTTTTTAGGATATGAAATTAATCTTTAACAGCAGTACCAAAATTATACTCCCCACCGGTCATTTTACACTACACTTCCCTCATCCTTATGAGTTTTCTGATTAGGTTCTTCAAATTCACCAAATGATGACAGAACATTTAACCTCTTCTTTTTCTCCTCTTTGAATACTTAACCTTCACCTTCTTACATTTTTCAGATTATTCAATGTTCCCTTTATCTAATCATTCCAAAAGTATTTGAGTCACTCTCAGGGCTTCAATCATCCCATTCTTAAAAATGAATTTATTCTAGACTTCCAAATTCCTTTCTTTTACTGTAGGAGGCACTGAACTTAAACTCCTTTAGGAAGCTATTACTGACTTATTCTAAAAGAAAAAACAAAACAAAAAAAAAACAACCCCCCCCCCCACATTTCTTTGGCTTTACCCTGGCTAAATAAGTAGTTCTTAAAGTTAATTCTTCCCTCCTTTCCCTGCACACCATACACTCCCATATACACTCCCATATACACTCCTGTAATATCTTATAGTCAGGTTTTATTTCACTGGTTTAAGATGACAGAGATTAAGCTTTATTTCCAAATGATTAACAAATTGCCCAAACATTGCTTAACTAAAAAATCCAACCATTTCCCACTAATACTTAATGCTACTTTTATCAAATACTAAATTCTTTCACATGCATTTCAGTCTGTTTCCAGAATTTCTATTCTAGTCCACTGACCTATTCCTGGGATAGTGCCATATATATATATAAAACTCTGTAATACATTTTAGTATCTAGAAGGACAACTCTGTGTGTATTACTCTTATTTTTTTGCTGTTCTTATTTTTCCAGGTGAAAAATAAGATCTATTATCTTTGTTTAAAGGGGAGATATTATGATACATCCTCATGAAGGCTTTAAAACCCACGTTTTGGAAGAATATATAATGATGTGGGAAAATTCTCAAAGAAAAAAAACACAGACAAAACTGTTTGCACAGAATGATCTCAAATTTATATGAGAAAGAGAAGAAAATAATACATTAGTAAATCTATCTGAATAGTGGAATTACAGGAATTTCACCTATTCAACCCTTACTCTCTACTAGAACTTGAGCTAGATAGGCACTAGAGATACAAAAACGAGTAAGATAGAATTCCCCTCCACATGCAGCTCTTAGTCTGTTTATTTAGGAATGAAGATAGGTAAGTACAACAGACAATTAAGTGGAGAGGAACAGATTCTGCCACAGAGGGCAGTGGAAACAGAGAAGAGGTGTTAAACCAGTAGAGGATAGGGAGAGACTGAAGATAAACAACAATTGATAGTTTAGTGGAGGAAAAACACAGAACAAGTGATTATAAGTGTGAAATGTGTTACAGAAAAAAGTCCCTTCCTATGGTTCTAAGTTCACTACCATAAGCAGGTATCTGAAGTCAGAATTATATAGTATTAATATAGAGGTTAAGAGCATGGGCCTTGGTGTCAAAGAGATGACTATGTTTGAATATTGCTCTACCACTTAATAACAATGTGATTTTGGTCAAGTTCTTAACCGTAATGGGTTATATATCAACTTCATAGGATTGCTAAGAGGATTATATGAGATACCTGTAAAGCAGTTCATAGCAATTCAGGAAGTGCTCAATAAATGGTAGCTATTGTTTTTATTGCCACTGATGATATTAAAACCAGTTGCTGGGCTATCAGGCATATATAATTAAAATTATTTCTTTTAATGCTGATAAATCTCTCAGTAAGATATACTTGGTATATCTTAATGTAGAAATAATTCTTACAGGTAAAAGGGATCTAGCAAATAGATGTCTGGAACCAATTGCTCATTGTATACCAAGCCTTCATCAACAATGCTGTGAGGAGATTCAAATGCCAAAGCTAAACAACCTCACAGACAAGAAACCTAGATTTGGAAAATTGCTGTCCACGTCTCTAATACCTCTTGTCAGAAAAGAATAAACTATCCAGTAGAAAAAAGTTTAAGCAATTAAATGAGCAATATACTAACATATGACCCATTTTCTTAATAAATATGGTAGAAGGTGGGGGTGAGGGATGAAAATCTAGCAAAGTATGTAGCAAAAGTATTTTTCTAAAAGGCTTAGGGGGCTGGCTTGTTGACTCAGTTGGTTATAGTGCAGTGTTATAACACCAAGGTCAAGGGTTTGGATCCCCATACCAGCCAGCTGCCAGGGGGAAAAAAAAAGGCTTAGATGGCCATAAAGTTTGGGAAACAACTGCAGCCTATGGTTTAACTTCTATAAGAGCATTAACAGAAATAAATCTCTACTGATTTTATAAAACCTTATGGTAACTTTCCAAGTTTACTGATTTCAGATTGTTTATTTCTTAATTAACTGGGATCAAATAAAACTACTTTAAAACAACAGATCAATCACCTAAAACTAAAAATTGTCACCAGGAGACTTTTCAATAAACAATTCTTAAGATTCACGGGTCTAATGTGCTAATCAACTTCTTAGACATAGCTCCCTTGACAATAATTCACAGTACTGTTTTCTCTATTTACAAGTAGAGTAATTTCTTATCTCATAATTCTTCCATTAGTCAGTCAATGTCTTTTCAAAAAGCCATATTGGCTCTTTGCTTGTAGAATGTTAGTTTCAACATCTCATCACTAGGCTCTGTCAGCTGTTTCTTGTCAGAACTTAATTCAACATTAGCTTTAATAACTTTAATAAAAACAATTGTGTTAGAAAGACATTCTCCAGTGTTTAAACAGACAGTATTAATGAACTCCACTGAATAAACTACTAATTTTCCCACTAGAAGAAGAAGAAGAATATCAACAATAACACAGTAGCAATTACTAGATATCTACTAAAGGGCTGGCCGCTTAGCTCAGTTGGTTAGAGCACAGCCTTGTAACACCAAGGTCATGGGTTTGGATTCCTGTACAGGGCAGCTGCCTCCCTGGCCCCCCCCCCCCCCCAAAGTTGAAACTAGACATTTACTATGTATGAGGCAGAATTTTAAGTGCTTTATATTTATTAACTCATTTGATCCCCTCAATAACTCTATGTGAGAGAAATTATTATTATTATAGATGAGGAAATGAGGCATAGAATGACCATATAACCTGCATAAAGGCAAAGGCAAGGAAGATAAGATTCAAACTCAGGTCCTCAAAGCACATGCTCTTAACCACTTCACAATGCTGCAGCTAATTAATTCATTCCTGTGTGACAACAAAACACAAGTTCTATTCAACATCTGACTTTTTACAGGGGTTATAATGATGTTCCTCTACGATCAAGTTAAATGATAGATTAATATCTGCCTTTAAAAAAAAGTTACCTTCTGTACTTTAGCATGTTTACCTTATAATTATATTCAAGAACTTGGGCAAATTCAATGCCTTTCTGGCAGATGATATCTATACCTCAAACCAGAAGGTCAATATTCTAATCACATCACACTGTAAATGTAAGGCTAGAATATAATATTGTGGATAAGTAATCTGAAATACTAAGTCACATATTCTATAAATTCAGAAGAAATAATTAAATTCACTGAGCACCAAAAAATTAGCCACATTAAAGATGGTAACACAAAAAAAAAATTCACAGAGAAAATGAGGCTAAAGAGAAACTTTGGACTTAAAAGACTGCTAATACAGCATACCAAACTTAAGGGAGATCATGTCACCGATACATATTTCTATTAAATACAGAATCCCATTGATACATTTTTTAAAAAATCTTTTATTTTAGCAGCCAATCAAGTTTTTCATATTCAAAGAATCCTAATTTAGGTAAGATAAAAGTGGAGCTATTCAGTCCAAGCAGGGAAGCCTGGAGACTTATTTGCTCAGTTTTCCTCAGCCTCAACCCACAGCAGCCCAAGATACCTTATTGCTATTTTCCTACAATCACTCCTCAATTTCATTCTGCATATATCTAATCATTCTTCCTAAAGCACAGACAATTTTTTCCAAAAATAGTTCCTTCACATCCTTGTAATACCTTGGGTTTAAATGATACTTTATAATTTACAAAGAGCTTTTATGTTCACTTTTGTTTACTTCATTAAAACCTCACAGCAGCATATGGAAGTAGATATTACAGGTTATTTGCTCCATTTTATAGCTTGATTACTTTATATTCCAAGACAGGGGACAATGCCGAAGCCATATGAGGTACTACATTTTCAGAGTCAGGACTAAAACTCTGATCTACCAACTTCCATCTCCTTAATCTTTGACCAGCGATTCAAGATAGTACTCCAACCTCCTTCTCCTTAATCTTTAGCCAGCAATCCAACGCATTTCGCACTACGGCTCTCCCTAATCTACCTTTCCAATCTCATCTCTCTTAATCTGCAAAAATTGTGCTTCAACTACTGTGTTGCAAGCTTACCTTTATGATTACCATCATCATCAAGCCTGTACCACATAGTGATTAAGAGCATGAACTCTGGAGCCAGACTAGCAAGGTTTGAATACCACCCTCCTCCATTTAACTAGCTGTGTGGCCTGGGTAAAGTTAGATAACTTTTCTTTGCCTCAGCTTCTTCTTCTGGAAAGTGTGAAAAAAAAAAAAAATAATACCTACCTCACGAAATTGTTCTAGGCATTAAATGAGTTAATAATACGCAAAATACTTAGACCAGTGCCTGGTACTTGGTCTGGTGTTTACTTTTATCATTATTGTTACTACTGAACAGTTATGTGTAAAACACTGCACTAGGTACTGAGTATATAAAAAAGTAAGTGGTAGTTCCTGTTTTCAGAGAGTTTCAACTCTGCTTGGAGAAATAAAACATATTCTTAAAACTTTTTTTTTTTTTTTTAACAAAGATCAAAATGGTGGGAAATCCCACAGGGTAACATATAAGTGCTAAAAAAAAAAAAAAAAAAAAAAAAGTAGAAAAGGATGTGATATAAAAGTTGGGAGAAAGAAGTAAATTCTGAGATTTGGGGTGTTTTGGGGAAAAAATCCTCAGGTACCTTTTTTTTCCAAATGAAGATGAAATTAGCTTTCTGAACATAAAAACAGTTTTTTTTTTCCCTTCCTCTTTTTTTTTTTATGACTGTCACCTTTAACCTTCCTGTGCTTCTACAGAAAATTAGGCTAAGAAAGTGGTTTTCTACTAGCACAAAAATGTGCACAGTTCACAAATTCAAAGGCATTCCTGTATATTCTATCCACTCTATATACACAAAAACTAGTGGGGAAAACCAGAACATGCATTTAAAACAAAAATTTTAAAACCCAGAAACTACAGAGCAACTATAAGAAAACCTCATATTTAAAAATTGCCTTATCATTATGAAAATTTAGTTTTAATTCTACAGGTATTCAATAACCAGGTTTCAAGTAGTACATTTAATATTAAATTATATTACTATGACCTTCAAAGGTGAAAAATTAAGTTTAAAATTAAAACATAAAGCATAAATTCAGGGTGCTAGAAAGAAAATTTTGAAAAAAACAACTGATAATTTTTAAAAGGACATACTTAACCCAGACCATTCATCATCGATATACGGTTGATTACGGCTAACATCCCACTGATAATCAGAAGTGGTAGACTGAGAAACTGGCTCAGCGGTAGACCCTTAAATAAAAAACGAATGCAATAAAATTAAAAATGGAATTTCCTAATGATGCTTCATAACAATAGTTCTATATTTTGCACACGGAGACTATTTTTATTTCTCCTAAAAGGAAAAATTCAGACATTAGAAAAAGAGTTAAGTTAAAAGGAAACATAAAACTGAGGGTAATTTTAGATTAAGTATGATAATCACTTGATCTAATTCACTGACGAGAAATATTTTTTCCCTAGTACCAACCCAATAGATTTTGTCTTTTGTAATATATACTTCAAACTAGTTATCTACAAATTTCAAGAAGTTGAAAAAGGTTGTTTTATTTTTCTTCCTAATAGAAAATAATTAAACATAAAAGAAATCCCCGTCATTGATCATTTTAGTCCTGGATATTCCAGGGCATGTCTATATCCTTAGAACCCTAAAAGAGAGAAGCAGAAAATATCTGAGTTAGCTCGAGCCTTCTGGCTAAGCAAAGTTAAAGAAATAGACAGGTGATTATCTTGAGAGGTGAGGCAGAAGGTAGCCAAAGAGACAAGAGAGTTGCTGGAGGTTTAGAGACCAAGTTAAGTTCAGGTGCATTTAAAGTTCTGTCTGTTTTGGGGTTTTGGGGGGAAGGGAGAAGGGAGCAGAGTGGAGGTCACACTGTCCTTAAGGAATCTGATGAAAACTGTGGTGGCCTACTGTACAGAACTTAACACAAAATTTTGCATATGGTTTTGGGGCGATATAAATTCATGGATGCCAAGTGAAAAATCCTTGCTCTATTGCCATAAATTCATTTTAGAATGTAAATATAAAGCAGTGGTTCTCTATTAGAGATATATATACCCTGGACCTTCTGAATCAGAATTTCCACATGTCTCAGAGTCCTTAGGTGACTCTGAAATTCACTTTGGATTGAGAGCCGCTTATATAGAGAAATGGTTAAGAAGAAAAGATATCTGGTTAGTATAAAAGACTGCACACAATTCACTTCCACCCATAAGAGTCTTTACTAATTTATAAATTTTCACTTGGTTACAGATGATCTTACTAGCATTCCACTAATGTGATAACTGCCTGATACATACTCAAAATAGTTACATTTTTTTAAATGTAAATTTTTTTTTCCTTTTTGTCTTTTTTCGTGACCGGTAACGGGATCGCAACCCTCAGTGTCACGCCCATACCGCGACCGGCAATGGGATCGCAACCCTCGGTGTCATGCCTGCACCACGCTCAGCCAGTGAGTGGACCGGTCTCTATATGGGATCCGAACCCTCGGCGGGAGCGCCGCCACACTCCTAAGCGCTGCACTCTACCGAGTGCGCCACCGGGCTGGCCCCTAAAATGTAAATTTTAATAAGTAGAGTAACATTATAAAATTCATATATAATTAGAACACCATCAGCTGCTTAGAAGCACTAGTAACACTTGCTAGTCCTTTAGTAGCTCATGCTACTTTTTCTGAATACATGAAGAGAATAGTATCTGTGTTATACAGTCACCAAATGAGGGAAGCAATTAACTTATATCTCTGGAACTGAAAAGTGGTCTATGAGACCAGGGTTTGGCAAACTATAACACAGGCCAAACGACGACACAGTCCAAATACAACCATCCCATGTTTGTATGACCCATAAACCAAGAATAATTTTTACATTTTTAAATGGTTGGAAAAAAGAAATCAGAAGAATAGTATTTCAGAACCAGACAATTGTTTGCTTATGTATTGTTTCTCGCTGCTTTCCTGTTACAATGGCAGAGTTGAATGGCTGCAACAGAGACTGTATGGTTCACAAAACCTAAAATATTTACTATCTAGCACTTTACTGAAAAAGTTTGCTGCTCCTGTTACAGGCTAGTGATTTCAAATACTGTGGAGCTACACAATTAGTAAACTGGGTCCATGAATTCCAATATGAACCAGGCACTGCAAACTAAACAATGTTTGGCACATTTGTAATGTTTGTTAAATATACATAGCCTCTATATGATTAATAAAAGGTATATATCCATTTAAGTAATGCTAAATTGACAGCAGTTTATTAGGAACAGTGTATTTTCTAAATCAACAGAAACTCAGGTAGAGTTATCACACATAACCCAAAAGGCTTAGTTATAAGCTCATAATGAATGAGTGAAAAGAAATAAAACTCCAAATGGCAACCAGAATTACAATAGGAGCACACTAGTAACAGAACAGTATGACCCTGAAGAGAAGGCCTTCCATGTGTATTTGTGTGCCAATTCATTGTCAGTGATATCAGGCCACAAAATCTTCCTTACTCCCCTACAGAAAGAAACTAAGCCACTTGCACAAAAGAATTTAGGTCTTCCTCTCTCCCCCCCTTTTAAAGGCCTCTGCCATTTTATATCTATTATTTATATTGATAGCAGTACTTGATGCTAATTATTTTTTCAAATAACAAGAGCTAAAATTAGTTTAAACAGAAATTTTTTTGTTAACTAAACGAAAGACTGTTTTCACATACCAGAAACAGCAGAGTTAAGTGTGAGAGATGCAAAAGAAGCAGAATTCTGTTCAGAGGTATTCATTCCCCTATCCACACTAGACCAAGCAGCTGTTAAAATAAAGAACGTCACTTGGAACCTTCAATTTGCAGTGAAACTTGAAAGATACGTACAAATTTAAAACTATGATAACAATAATTGAAGATAACCTTAGACATGAGAACCACTTAAAATAGCAATAGCTACTATTTATTGAATATTATGTGGCTGGGCCCCTTACACCAATAAGTTCTAGTCCAGCCACTTCTAATTCTTAAGGCAACCCTGCTAGGCAGTTTCAGAGTAGTTTAAGTTACTTGCTGATACCTATACAACAGCTGAACCATGACTGGAACTGAAGTTAATTTCCAAAGCCTATGCTCTTTCCACTATACCAAGCTACTATTTACTATCTATCATAATTAAGCAACTACTCTGGGCCAGGCATTAAACTTGGTACTTGACATTCATTATAACCAATCCTCACAAGTACTTAAATATGAGGTTCATACTGGTTAAATAACTAACCTAACGTACATAAAAGCTAGCAGGTGGAAGAATAGGGATTCACACCTAATAGATCTATTTGAATGCTCATTCCACTATACCATAAACATTCTCAATATTTTCAAGACATTTCTTTCTCATATTTGAGTATTTAAAAAAAATACCTTCATGAGACCAGTTACATCTTTCTCTTCTCAGTGACCCAATGCAAACCTAATTTAATATAGTTCACTTTCAATTTCAACAAAGGTCCTAATCCATCTAGGCAGGAACTCTAACATGCTGCATAATTTTATCTGAAGCAACATTAAACAAGTACCATCTAATAATCTATGTCTTAGTTATGAAATGCTACATAACTTTTATAAGTAAATTGCAAATAGCCCCAAAGGTCTTAGTTCCTAACATTACTCCATAAAACTTGACCATTTCTTCTATTAAATATAAAAGGATGCTTTACAGTGCAGAAATTCATGCTTTCTTCTCTGTTGAAAATGAAGGTGGGAATTTAGGGAATGTCTCTTTCAAACAAATTTTGATATTTCTACACAATTTTTGGACATGGCAGAGGGAAGAGGGAACAGCCAGCCTGAGAACAATATTAGTAAGTAATCTAGACTTTGCTTCTTGAGGATGTTAGCTTTTTTACAAGTGATGGGAAAAGCTAACAAAGGAGGAAAGTTTTTTCTACTTACATACTAAAAACTTTCTAGTGTCTATTGCTCCTCCAAATTAAAAGAAATAAACAAAAAATATCTGCAACAAGCACAACAGAAAAAAATGTATGTTTAATGCACAAGAAATTATATAACTCGATTAAAAAAAAACACTAAGAGGGCATTAGACAAATGAGCAAAGAACATGAACAGAGAAGTCATAAAAGATATGGAAATGATCAAGAAAGTTGTAGAAAAACATAACCTCATTAGTGATTTTAAAAAGTTAACCAAAACAATTTATGTATTTTTTGCTTATCAAATTACAAAAGATTAAAAAAAAAAATCCAACCTTGGTAAGCATATAATAAATGGGTATTTATACTAATGCTGAGAGTATGAATTAGAACAACTCTCTTAGAAAATACTTAGACAATATATAGTAGAGCATTAGAAACATTCATATTCCTTTTAACCCAATATCACTCCCAAGAATCTATCCTAAAGAATTAATCCCAAAACAAATATATTCAATGAGACATTATCTACAATGGTTTAAAAAAAAATTATTTCTCCAGTAATATAGAAATAGCTAAGTAAATTATGCTGTGCTTACACAATATATTACAGGACCAATAAATACAAATACAAAGAGTAAGGGAAATGTTTATGTACCAAAGTTAAGGGAGGGGGAGGAGGAACATAAAAAAGCATATTCAATTTGGGTTATGTCAAAATGAACAAAAAAACCCAAAAAACACTATACACAAGGGGAAGAAAAAGACCATAAAGAAATAAAAAAAACTAAGAGTGGCTGTTAGTAGGTGGTGCAATAACAGTGGATTCTTCCTTATCTTTTTGCAGTTTTCCACATTTAACATGGATTTCTTTTCTATAATACACACATATACCTGAAAATTAAGTTCCTTTTAACTTAATGGCACTTGCTACAGAAAGGAGCTTCTTCTCAACTACTGGTCTTTATCATTAAAATCCAGGGGCAAATTTAATTAAAAATAGACATTTTACAGACTGTAAAATACTCTATAACTGATGCTATAAACTGTACTTCCACTTACTATTTTGAGTTAGGCTCAACAGAACTGTTGAAATTAATCACAAAGTCTGATCACACAATACATTTATCACATCACTAAGAATACACAAATATATACCAGTTAGCTATATTGATAATCAAATGTGATAAAGTATGTGAAAGCACTATGTATGGAGTAAATGACAAATGTTGTAATTCACTTATTTAGTTCCCATTTTGCTCCACTGAAAGGATCTGAGATGAGTACATTAATATCATTTTTGTATGGCATTACTAATTTTCCTATTTATGGATTCTTTTTTTTTTTCCCATTCCTGGAACATTCAAAATGTACCAGATTAACAATTTTAAATGAACTTAAAATTTTCTAACAGCTCTTACCAATGCCAGAAAATATTGAACGGTCACTCCAACTCCTTCCCCAGTCTTTTCCATTTGCATTAGCATCTCCAGTGTCTTGACTCCAAGCAGATGGCTCAGTTTTCCGCTTGCCTGCAGAAGCAGGTGAAACAGAGTTCCACTTCTCCTCACCTGCATTGATCTGTGAGGAGAGTTTTATAGACTTTTCATTCCAGCCTCCTCCATTGACAGTGAGGTTTTCATTCAATCCTGAAGAAACTTAAAGAAAAGAAAATAAAGATTATAAACAGGTATGTGACTTCTTGTTAAAAATGGGATATTTTCAAATTTCTGATTGCTTGGCTTATATTTATCACTCATTTTTCCCCCTACTGTCCTTTAAATAACTTGAGCTTTAAAGATAAAAATGAATTTTAAAGTGACATGATCACCATGGATGCCTTTTAATTTAAACACTAATAGGTTTGAATGCAACATATATACTAGTGATGTTTTCAACAGCAGAATGACTTGCTCAAAGAAGTACAACAGAGCAAATAGAAAAATGACACATTCTGGTATACTCAGAATACTCACCCATTAAGAATATGAAAATTTCTCCTTAGTTACATGTTCTTTCCTTAAATATTTACATATATTATATATTATATATAAGGTAGTGATTCTAGAACCTGGCTGCACATTAAAATCAACCAAGAAATTTCTTAAAAATAAATTCTGGAGCCCCAGCCTAGACAATTAAAATCAGAATCTTTGGGGGTAGAGTCCAAGCATCATTAGTATGTGTCTGTATATATGTACACACACACAAATACACATAGAGGTGTGTCTTTCTTTTTATACATGTGTGTATGTGTTGTTTTTTTAAGCTTCCTAGAGTATTATAATTTGTAGCCAATTGAGAACCATGGGCATGAAGGAAGCTGACAGTGATAAGAATAAGCCTGAAATAAAAAGGTGCTTTTTTCAATTCTGAATTTATGTTTTACTACAACACTTCTGTTTTGAGCTCATGTATACATACCACTCCACTTAATTCTATCTTTATCATAAATGAGCAAATAAACTATATTTTCTCTTTGTGAAACACTGAATAACTTTAAACTGTAGTACATTTATTGTGAAATATTTGATACTGTCAAGGAACCAGTTTTGAAAATTATAAAAACTAAGGCCTTTTTCTTAATATGTAGGGGTAAAGTCTTTTATCCCATATATACCTAAATTAAACCCAAGTCCACCAAAGATTCTTATTCTCTACTGGCTTAAGTGATGCAAGCAAGAATCAAAACTGCATATAAACTATTATTGAAAGAACGTTTTTGTACATTGGGGGCTGGTGGTGGTGGGGACTAGAATATACCAAAACCTGTTAGAAGTAGGAGTGATTTTTCTTTTTACCTATTTTCCAAAATCTCTGGACTATGATTATGTTACTTTAGTAATTAAAAATCATTTTTAAGCCTTTTTCTTCCCTTCTGTGTCATTCATGTGAGGAAAGAGACATGTATTTAAAAGTTTCTATTTTGGTGGGCCTTCGATTTTATTTACATGTAATTTCTCTCACCCTGAAGTGTAGAATCTCCTTTTCCAGACTTAAAGTTGCTAACTTGAACATTTAGTTGAGAATCACCTGGTTGAAATAGAAATAAAATTTATTTAATACTAAATAGGCCACTATGCACATTAAATTAGGAGTAACATACAAATTAATTTTTACTTATTATCTATAATAAATTGCTTCTTTAAGTGCTAAATTCTTACACGGAAAAAAAGTCCATTTTATAACATATCTCACGTGTCTGTAAGGAACTGAGTTCTCTGGTTACCACATTCTTAGTCAACTAAAACGCCAATAAAGGACCTGGAAAACTGCCCCAAGTATAGATAGAGTTTGCTATTCTTATTATCAAAATTCTTTAAGTAGGAACTAGAGAATTGGGCTCTGTAATTGGATTCAACTTTGCCACCTCTCAACAAGACCACCTGCCTTTTCAGCAATCCTGGAAGCAAACATATCAAATTAAGAAGAACTTTGCCCTTAGGAAATATGGCAAGAGGTGAGAATACATGTTATAACACAAAAATACTATTTCTCTGACACTAAAAAACATAATACCACAATGTATCAAAAAAATCAGCATGACACAGGATTGTGCTAGCAAGGAAGGCATGCACAAGACAGTGAAAAAGGGTCACCAACAAAAATACTAAAAGCACAGCTGATATGTGACAGTGATTATGGATAAGTAGAAGTCATTGCTGTACCATGTCATTGCAATACATTCCACCAAGTTATCAAGCAAAAAAGTAAAGAGTAACAACGCTAAGAAAGTGGTCTGGAAACAACTGAGTGGTGCGGAGGTGGGAAGGTCATTGATGAAAACAAGACAGAAGATAAGCCAATGCCTTGAAGCAAGTTGAACAGTATCACTTTGCAGACTAGTGTTTCCAGAATAAAAATGATGGCAATATAAAGGAGAGCTACCAAGAAGCCATCAGTATTGAATAGTATGAACATCTGAAATACTGGGAAGGAAGAACATATGTTCAATAAACTTTGAAGTTCTGGTCTTGCTTTATCAAACACCAACACTTTCAAAAAGCTGGGGTGATAAGAAATCCAGACAGAACCTGCACTAACCAGAACATGCTTGCTTCATCTTGTAATGAAAGCACCCAACATGCAGAATGTTGATAAATAATTCCATTTAATAAATATCTTATCCACTGTAAGAAATGGAGATGCAAGAGAATTGTGGGGCAAAGCAATACACATGAGGAAAAAAGGCAACATCATTTTCTCACGTGACTCAAGGCAGAAAGGCAAAATTTAACTTAATGGGCCACTCATTATGTAACACGTAACACTGCTGGTATTAGGTAAACCAATACATGGTTCACAATACTCTCATGAAGAAGGGTATATCAGCACAATGATGTTAGCAGTTCAAAATAGTCAGATTTTGACATAATGATATTTTGTACATCTGATTAAAAGGTGTTTGATTTGATGAACCACTCTAATGTTCCACTAATATACCTTTATTCTTCTTGGAACCAACAGGAAATGATGCAGTTGTAAGTTGCTCGGTGGTAACTGTGATGGTATTTTCTATCCCAGGGATAGTTGAATCCAATGAACCAGAATCAGTCAGCACCTTATCACGTTTACGCTGCTGTCGTTTCTCTCTGTGACTAATTTTAGTTTCCCAGGCTCCTGACATAGCCCCAGAAAAAAAATGTTATTCAGTAAGGGGAAAACAAAAAAGTTGTAGTTTTTTTTTGGGGGGGGGATAGGATGGGGCACACAAAATATCATGATAAATTTATATATTAAGCTAAAAACCAAGAGTGCCGATTATATTTTTTATCCTAAGGATTTATTCTAATCTCATTAATTATGTTGTTTTCAGCAATAAACTGCTATTATTTATTCTAGTAATTTTTATCAAATCTCTCATCTATGGTTTAGAAAAAGTGAGAGATAATAAATCGTCTTGTATATCTTTTTATCTTGCTGGGTAGAAGTTATAGAAGAGTGTTATAATCTCTAATAGATGGGTTTGTTAGGTGAAGGTAATAAATGGCTTACTCAAGTAGTTTGTACACTGCCTTTCAGGTATGATATATTTAAGAACAATGGGGAAAAAAACCAAACCATATTTCTAGGAAACAAAGACAAGATAAATGGCTTTTCAACTGCTCAAAATATTGACCTTAAATTTTATGGCAGTTTCCTTCAGGAAAAGCACTACTGGATTCTTAAATACTTTAGATAATGAAGTGTTTCCTAACAATGTCACAGATTTGTATATTAAAATCTACAGTAAATAAAAAGAGCCAGATAAAAGATTAAATGAAACAAATGCAGCTTTTATATAATACACCTTGGTTAAAAAAAAAGGATTACAATTCTCTACAGTCCTTTCCCTTGCTCAAGTACCTTCATCAACTTCCTTTCCATCATGGCGTGAACTGTTTTGCACTGCTTTAGCATCTGACTTTGATTTCTTCTTATTTTTCTTTGACTGAAAGTAAAATAGAATGTTACTTAATATTTAATTATGTTTTTTGAAAAGGTAGGACTCAGTAAACTACATAATGAAATGTACGATGCTGACAACTTAAAAAATTTAATAGGTTTAATTTAAAAAACTTAACATTAAGTGGCAATAATAATTTGAGGTTACCATTTATTGCATGGTTACTATGTGCTAAGTACACTCATTTTCTTATTTATTCCTTTAAAACACTCACTGGAAAAGGTATTAGAGATATTAAATAGGCTGTACTGGGTCATATTAAGTTAGTAAATTAAGTCATAATTAAAAACTAAGTCTGTCTGGCTCCAAAGTCTGTGCTCTTAGACATCATGCTATTCTAACTTACATCATAAATAAGGTACTGTAATATGGTGTTTTCAAAGCAATAAAATTAAAACCTATAGTCAGTGTTCAGAAGAAAAATGATGTACTGATTATTGGTTTTTAGAATGCATAAAGTAGATTATTTGTATATCCTAAATATAACAAATTAATGAGTCAATTGTACAAAGTAGGTAATATTTTGTTAGTTTTAAAGCAATGTAAAAATACCTACAATTTGTATATAGTAGATGTTTAATAATTCAACAAGATATAATACCTACACACAAATACACAATACAAACATTTTAGAATGGTCTTCCAATTCCCTTCTGCTAATTATCATTTTCTCCTTTCAAAAGCTTGCTAAAGTTTGGTCGGTTAGCTCAGTTGGTTAGAACATAGCCTTATAAAACCCAGGTCACAGGTTTGGATCCCCGTATTGACCAGCCATGCCAAAAAAAAAGCTTGCTAAAAACTCCATAAAGCCATAACTTCTATATTTAGATAAGTGCTTCCAGAAGGGAATTAACATCCATAAAATATGGTGTTTTTATTTGTACTTTGTGTTCGCTCATTTAGCTATACTGCGATTGGCTATGTACGTAATATTGTGCACTACACACATTAACTTTACAACTAAATAAGAGATTTTATCTTAATTATACGCCTTTTGTATGAGTAAGCTGTAAATGACAGTTTGAATAAGCAATAAATGATAGCTAACTATTCCTATCAATAATCCTTGCAAATATTCTCAAGTGGTATGATCTCTTGAAGATGATTAAAAATTGTCTTTGACTAGGGAGTACATAAAAAAGTATTTTTGAAAGTCCTTTTACTGTCCTTTTAATTGATTTGCATTCATTTGTTTCTTTGCATGTTATCATTATCATTAACATGTATCATGTTTTATATACTGTTTTATTAAATCTACCAAACCAGGCTCATAACTTTTTAAAAATTGAGATATGCACATACTATAATATTCACCCTTTTAAAGTGCAAATTTAGCAGTTTTTAGTATATCTGAAGTTGCACAACTATCACTATTATTTTCTTTATCCCAAAAAAGAAACTCTATAACTATTAGCAGTTATTCCCCACTCCTCTGTTCCCCCTGTCAACCACTACTCTACCTACTCTTTTTTTTTTTTTCCTTTTTGTCTTTTTTCGTGACCGGTAACAGGATCGCAACCCTCAGTGAGCGGACCGGTCTCTATATGGGATCCAAACCCTCGGCGGGAGCGCCCCCACACTCCCAAGCTCCACACTCTACCGAGTGCGCCACCGGGCCAGCCCTATCATATCTACTCTTAAGATAACACACTGAACGTTTCTCAATTATAGTTTAGAGCATGGATAGCAAACTTTTTCTGTAAAAGACCAAATAGTAAATATTTTAGGCTTTGCAGATCACATAGTTTTGCTGCAACCATACAACTCTGTCCCTGTAGCATGAAAGCAGCCATATACAATATATAAACAAATGGGTGTGACTATGTTCCAATAGATTTTATTCACAAAAACAGGCATCTGGCTGAGCCGGGGATGAGGGGACAGAGTTTGTTATCCCTGGTCTAGAACAGTACTGTCCAATAGAAGTATAACACAAACCACGTATATAATTTAAAATTTTCTATTAGACACATTTTAAAAAGTTAAAATGTGACATTAATTTTAATAACATATTTAATATAGTATGCCTAAAATACTACCATTTCAACATGTAATCAATACAAAAAAGCCTATTAATAAGATAGTATGAAAAAGAAGATAAACTAAGTCTTTGAAATCTGGTGTTTATTCTACATTTAACAGCAACTGCAATTTGGACTAGTCACATTTCAAGTGCTCAATATCCACATGTGGCAAGGGGCTGCCATATTGGACAGTATAAACCTACAGGAACTAACTAAAGTAGGTACCCTCATTTTACAGATAAGCAAATTGAGGCCATAATGAGATTATATAAAGTGTCTAAGGTCATAGGGTTATCAGTGGTAAAAACCAGGACTAAAGTCCAATTTTGACTCCAGAGCCTGCCCTCACAAAAACTCTGCTATTCTGTCTCCCTACATTTAACTCCAAATACAAATTTAATCATGTATTAGCTATGTGGCTTTGAATTAAATCATTCTAAGCTGTTTTCTCCAACTGTTGCATGGGACAAAAATTCCTACTAATCTCACATAAGGTTGTCTTAAGAATTTTTTTAAAAAGTGTAAATAATTTGCTCAAATTCATAGAACTTAAAATATCAAAAATTTTTGAGCTGGTTATAAAACATACAAAAATGACTTCTATAATTGAGCTCCTCCTTCACCTTTAACTTAACATGAATGAATATTTCTAATATTAGACAATATCAAAAAAATAAGTGATACCACTTATTAGAGCGGCAAAAGGTACAAGGTGGCAGCAAAAGTAGATCTATTCAAATGGCTAATTGCCCAAATAGCAAATTTTGCTATTTTAAAGAACTGGAAGAACTGGAAAGAATAATGGACCAGTAGTGCCCAATTCATGCGGAAAAGATCAGTTTAAGGAGTATAATCTAATATTTGTGTAGTATCAAAACTATCATAAGAGGGATACTGTACAAATGTTAAGTGATATTATATTTTGCAAATAGCTATTTATACAAAGTAAGTAGCCAGGTTCTGAATGTAATCATTATTCAATTTATTAATTCTCTATTCTGGAAAGTACTGGTCCCTAAAAATTTGGTGAACTGACAGCTTTAATATTTAAAGGCCTATAAACATCTAAAGACTTTGCTGGTTATGCCAGGAGTGATAAAGGAAATGGAGTATGAAAAAGAGAAATGCTGAGTATTTTCCACATGTTAGAAATGGTTACTATGATGCTTTGATCTGCAGACTAGTGGCTGATGTCTAAGGTTTTCCACTGACTCATGGCAAAAACCATCCTACTTTCTGAGATTTTTGTTCTTTTTACTTCCAGTGTGTGAAAATTCCTTTCATTTTTGTAACTGTAAGAGCGTTTTTAAAAAGGTACTCGGCAAAATTAAGTTTGTTAGTAGAATTCATTTCAAGAACTTTTAGCAAATGCCATTTTAAAAGTCTGACAACCATTTCTTTAGAGTTAATTTCATCCACTTGCAGCCCCCCAAAATACAGCAAGACCCTATTCTATGCTGTTCCACATTTTGGCACTATTTACTTTTCTCACATCTCAAATACAAACACAAGTTGGGCATGGTTAAATGAGAAATATGGATGGTCCAAGGGGCACAGTTACATTTCTCCACTTTGTCTATACTAGCAGTTCTCAATCTTAGTAACACTGAGACACAATATCAGAATGAGATTGTGAAAAATGTCACAAATAAATCTTTTTAAAAGTATAAAAGTTTGCAATTGACCCCCCCCCGGGAACTAGATTCAAAGTTATTCCACTACATACTCTTCTGATATTTTCCTGAACAGAAGTAGGAGTAGATTGCAGGTTCAGGGAAGTGCTTACAACCAGCACTTTATCCTACCTCCTCTTTTTTTTTTTTTTTTCTCATAGCACTTACCAACTGATATTAGAGAATATGCTTTGTTTTTTTCCCTGCTTAGCTTCACCAGACTAGGGACTCTTGTTTTATCAACCATAGTATTCCTAGTGCCTAAAATAGTACCTTACACATAGAAGCTATCCAATTATTATATGGTTAATCAATGAAAGAGCCTAAAAATAGATTGCATTACATATAGCCCTATCTACTAACACTCACTCCATCTCCCCATTCAAATAAAATCTGAGCTATTATATTTGTATACTTGATCCATCATTCAAGCCATTAAATTATTTAAATATGTCTGATGTAGGCTTGTAAGACATGGCACACTGCATAAGCAGCATGGCTATCAACTCACAGTCTTAAAAAATTTACAGGAAACCATTCTTAAGAACTCCTTTTATTTATCTAGCTCTGAACCCTTTCCCAGATATGGTTCTCACATATCTAACAGACCTAATAAATTAATTCCACTTTGAGATTCCATTCTCACCTCAATCTTAGCATGTTTAAAAGCAAATTCACCATTTCACTGTTTCAATCCCCTCTTGCCATTTTCTGTCTGATACAACCATCGTATGGTAGAAAAATGATGGACTGGGGTGGAGGTCCTGGTTCTGATCTCAGATCTGCTATTTGTTTGGAGTCCAAGGGCAGAAATGAGGCTTCCCTGGTAAGATATCCTGTCTTTTACAGAAAATGGCTTTGTTTACCTTAAAGGGAATCTTGAAAACTAATTCCTTGGGTGGGAATCCAAGAAATCACAATGCTAAGAACTCCTTTTATTTATCTAGCGTGTGGCACATGGGAGCCCCAAAGGTCAAGAGTCCAAGACCTAGAGAATGAGACCATATCAAAACACTCCAGATAATGAAACATTTTAATGAGCCAAAGACTACAGTAAGAGTTTAAACCAGGTGTTCAGCAAAAAAAAAGGGCCAAATAGTAAATAATTTAGGCTTTGCAAACCTCTTGCAACTACCCAACTCCGCTGTTGTAGTGAAAAAGCAGCCATAGACAACAGATAAATTATCAGTGTGGCTGTGTTCCAACAAAACTTTATTTACAAAAACAGGCAGAGGGCCAGATATGCCATCGTTTGTCAACCTGGTTTTAAACTAAACTTTAAATATAT